AGGTGATTATATACGAGTTTAAACTACTTTCCTTTTCTACTCCTTTTCCGAGGTGGAGTGTTTAACAAAACTTTCGCCATTTTATCTAATTCCTCTTGATTTACTGATTTATTTTTACATTCAGAGCAATGACCTAATTTTTCATTCTGTTCTTTTTGTGCCATATAAACTCTTTTAGAGTTTTTTTTATTTCTATTTGTCATATTTTTATCCATAGCCACAATATAGTATAATTTTAACCAATATTTGAAACTATTGTTTGAAATAGAGTTTGAAACAAAGATTAAATTAAAGAAATAGACAACGAATAATAAAGCACTAAAATAATAATATGGTAAAAAGTATGATAATGCTCCCAACGAGCAAAAAAAAAAAAAACAGTATTAAGCACCCTAAAAGTTGTTGCTCTCTTTTAGTAGGAAATAGTATTAAATAGTTATGTTAGGATTAGATACCTATATTCTGAAACAAGTAGAAAAGTGAATGAGTAAAGCCGAAACACCTGAGGAATTAATGTCCCGAGCAAGGATTTTTATGGGAACTGTTTTTGCTATTCATTCAGTATTAGCAATATTAGCAGCATGAAGGCTTTACAAGATTATAAAAACCAAAGAAAAAACAACTGGCGATTTAATTTGACCTATTGCCTTATTTGTGTTATCCCTTGCTATTCCTTATGGAACTGAAAAAGGCGAGGAACTGACTAGCATCCCAAGTTCAGGGTTATTAGTTTTTGCTACCCTTGGCTTATCCATTGCTGTCTTTATAATGTGGTTTGTTAAAAAGAACCCTGAGGAGGAAAATAAAGAGGATGTAAACCTTTAAAGAAAAAAAATGCTAAAATAGGGAGTATAGCAATGATGAATAGTCGAAAATAGGGGGATTAATTTTTCAGTGAGGTCGGTGAATATTATGCGAGGTCAGTTCCAAACATTTTTAGATACGCAGAAAGTCGGATCCACCTTTCGAATTTCACTGACCCCACTCAAAAGTTAATCCCTTAACAAAGGGGAATATGATTATATTTTAGTAAGAATTAGTTAGGTTTGGATAAGTTAAACTTTTACCCAATGCCGAGAAAAGCACGAAATCAAACCTTTTTTGATTATCATATTTCCGGGTGTTAAACCTAAAAGTAAACTCATCAGCATATTTTTGGGTATGTTTCTTACTTATTCAATGGTAAGTGCCTCGAATTGTTCCTTTAAAATGAGAATTGAAGTTTTCAGCCGAGTTAGTGGAAGCCTTGTCATTGACATATTGCTTCTTTCCGTGGTTGACTATTTGATGTTTATATCGCTTACCTAAATCCTTGTAAGCCTTTCATTCATCAGTATAAACATTACTTCCCTCTTTAACATTAGCCCTAATTATTGGTTCCAAGGTCTTTTGTTTAACATCAGAAACTACTCGGGAGATTGCATTACCACCCCTTTTTATCATTACTATTAAAGGGGTTTTATCTTTCGAACTTCTACCCTGCGAATGAGGAATTTTCTTATCCCAATGTCGGTTCTTGTTCTTACCGCCTATATAGGTTTCATCTATTTCCACAAAGTCTTTTAGCATTTCTTTAATAAAGTTGGATTGTTTAAGACTATCCCGTAAATTGTCTAATAAATAGTAGGCTGATTTTTGAGTTATGCCAAGGTCTTTGGCTAACTGACAAGAAGAGATGCCTTTTTTATGAACGGAGAAAAGATACAAAGCTGTAAATCAATCTCCCAACTTTATCTTAGTGTTGGCAAAGATAGTTCCAGTTTTGACATTAAAAAACTTACCTGTGTTTTTACATTTATATCGGTTAATACTAGGGCAAAAATAAACTTTTGAATTGGGGTCGAAAGGAGAAATTACATTACCGTTTCACCTATGCTTTTCTAAATAGTTAATAATAGTCTGTTCATTAGAAAATACTGCTAATAGTTCGGATATACTTTTAAATTTTAACATAAAAAAGGTTATATGAGTATTTTAGTTTAAACTTGTATATAATCACCTAA